GGATCACCACCCACACCGCCGCATAAGTACCTTGTGGTAGGGAGGGTTGGAGGTAGATACCATGGAAAGTACCTAATCAGGTTATGTGCCGCCACTCTAGTGTTTGTTGAGGCAGTATCGACTTCAGGGAGGAAAAGAAGAAGGCTGCAGAGGCTGTTGTCAGAATGGAGTCGATAGAGCCAGCATTCAGTGCCATCTCTCAAGTCGTGATGCTCTGGCTCTGGTCCAAAGTGAAAAGAGGCCAGGAACAGTGCAAATGACAGTGGAGGACATCACCACCACGTCCTTGCTCTTCAAATTCCATCCTACGCATCTTTCCAGGCGAAAAATCAATATCCAATCCTCCCGGCATCTCGGCTCCGACTCCAAGACCAGACCAGACCAGACCAGACCAAAGCGCTTGCGCTACAGGCGACTTGGCATTAATTCCAACTTCTCCACGCATGCAAGATCGACCGCCAGAAGGACCACCGGACGACAGGCAAGACAGGGTGAAAGGATGACTGGGACCCATTTGCCGCAACGCCCAAGTCGACGCTGCCAACATCCACATATCCACATAAGCCATTTACACTACCTCTCTACCTCGCCCGCCCATATTTTGCCCTTCCTGGTCTCACTCCAATTTCTCCAATGACATCGTGATAAGAGCACAGCATCCTCGATAACGGCGACGAGTCGGCCCCGTTTGCCAATCCGATTTTCAAACGCATCTTCTTCGACCGCGATCGAACCTGGCAGCCCGACAGGAACGTTAAAATACAGCGTCGGCCGTCGTGGACAAGCATCTAGTACGCCTTCGTGCCTTTCCTGAGGGGCATGGGCAAGCCGTTTGAAGAAGGTCCACGATCAGGTTCCGAGAGGGAGGAGCAGGACGGACGGGGACAAGCATCAACAATGGCGAACCTGGGCCGTTCATTCAAGCCGCCAGCCTATTTCTCACGGACCAGACGGCCAGCAATGCCTGGACGGACCTTGTCCAATTCTTCAGACGTGTCGGTGGCCTCTGCCAGCTCTCGATCTGACGACCACTGCGACCTGCTGATGTCTGGACTCAACACGCCGGCGCAAGAGAAGACGGGATTTGATAGTCTCAAGTTGACGTCGGCGCCAGAAGTACGCTCCTCGAGAGGCAAGTCGCAGCGTTTTGTTTCGTCTACATTCTCCCACTTGATTTCCACCATTTATTTGCTATTCTTGGGCTCAAATTATTGATCCATCTATGTTCGACTTCTCCGGCACACCATTCCCCTCGTCTTTGCAGCCCCGCCTGTCATGTCCCCAGGTTGACCTTGGTCGCAACGCTCCCATATGCCATCTTCTAGTCTGTATCATGTTCATTCTGTTTCTAATCCCAATCGACCTATTTCGGGGCCGATGCACTGACTGGCGGGGCTGGCCGTTGGTCATTGCAAACCACCCGCGCAGGGGTTGGAAGCCCCTCCTCGACGGGACGCCACCGAGTCAGCTCGTGCACGGTTCCGGCGGCTCGGGCGCAGGCCCTCGGAGGGCATTGGGAATCGCAGTGCAGGGTACCTTACCTTACCTTACCTTACCATGAGGGCGCGCTCTAAGGTAGTTTGTCGCCACCTCAGATACATAACCCTTTACCCTTAATTCCATCCTCCAAAGTCTCCTTGCTAGCTCGCATTACCCCAATACCGTTGTGCCTCCTTTTCCCGTCCTACAAGTGTTGTACGGTATCTTGGGAGCTGGCGCAAGTCAGCCGCCAGTCGCGGTCCAGCGCGGGGTTGACTCCGAACACCATTCAAGCAGTTGTCAGTGGTTGGCGGGTTGTGACTGGTGACCACCTACATTGCCTACCTTACCTTACTTAAGGTAAGGTATTCATCAGTCCGAGCAACGTGATACTGTGGCACGGTGGACACGGCAGAGCACCTCAGGGTGGTAGCGCTTACTTGATGGACGCCGTCCCGTCAGACCGATCCAGCTGGCCGATACCCGCTCGTTGCGTTACTTGCCGCGTGGGCCTTTGGGAAAAAATCGTGTCTCGTGCCTTTGTCAAGGCACGATCAAGTTACAACCTGAGCGTCCGGGGTATCGCAGAGTGCGAGCTCCTTGGGGGCAATGACAACTGGGCCTTCTAACAAGAGCGCTTCATTTACTTCAGGGCACCGCCGCCTGGTGTACAATGGCATTGCGTGCAGAGGCCAATGGCTGAGGGCTGAGGGTGCTGCGCTGGGTTGGCTGCGTTATTCTATAACGCTCGCGGAGGGGGGCTCTCGCGCTGCTTGGGCCGGCATGCGACCCCTCACAGGCCCTGTGCCAAGTGCAGCTTCCACACATATGCGGTACATATTTTTGGCCATTGCAAATTCCATGGCTGGACCCTGCACCCATCGTCATCATTCGCGGTCATTCTGCGCTATGGACGGGTCATCCCCGGGCCTAAGCCCTTTTCTACATCCTTCTCGTCTGTCTCGCATGGCTTCTGGGGGACCCTTCAACGTTGCGTCATGTTTTTTTGCCCTTCACGCAGTATTATGCTTTCCTCTTTTTTTCAATTTTATTTAAATTTTTTCTTTTCCCTTTCGCCCCCATTCGATCCAAAATCCCACGTTTCCCTGCCCCGCCGAGGACTAACTTGTCGATTACTTAATAGGCGAAAGATCCGCGCCTTCCCAACTTGATCTTACATCCCTTCAAGCCATCAGACATACCAGCAGCCGCCCAATTACTATTGAGCTGCCGCACTCCCCTCGGAAGACCAATTCAGCACCTACGCACACACCGCCTGAACCTTTGTCGGCCCGCGGAGACGTTCCTGGGTATGTGCATACACCGCCTTGTCCATTCTGAAATCCGGCCATCGAACGGGTGTAAATGAGGACCAAAACAACTGATTGCTTGTTCGTAGTGGCTACTTTCCGCTGCACGAAGATCCGAAAGCCCGAATCCATCGTACTCATCCTTTTCATGCCGACGGCGGTCCGCTCCGACACCGCTCTGTCTGCCTGACACGCGATTCCTCCTCACACGTCGAGCCTCACGGCACACCTTTGCCCACACTCATGGCGCCATCATCCCATCTATCGCCCTCGATGGCTCTTGAATCCGATCCGTCACGTTCCAACACTCCCGTCGCCTCGTATCTACCCAGCGGCATACACGACACTCCACTGCCAATGGGCAAGTATTATCCATCCAACTACGAGAGCCGCGGAAGCCAAGATCCGACGAGAATAGGCCCATCTGCGCCTCCCACTCGGGCATCATCCACGAGATCTGAAGGCCACATCCCGACTCGTGAGGGCTTCAGGTCCTCGAGACAAGATTCTGAGGTCCGCCGCAAGCTTCAGCAATACCAACGAGACATGATTGCGCAAGCGAGGTTGGCTGCGAGCGAAGTGCTGGGTGGCGCGGCAAGCCAGAGCAATGTAACCTCTAGCTCCACTGTGACTTTGAATGGGGTACCCTTGACAAATCTGCACCAAATCGGAACGGCCGGCTCTCACAAACCAATTTCTCCAAGACTACTGCCCCTTGGAAGTCCCGGCCCCGTCACGCCCATGAATCTCGAGGGCGAGGATGTTGGTTATCTGGATCGGGGCCGCGATAATGAAATTGCCCGTGTCCTGCGGGCAGAAGAGGAGCGCATTCGTAGGGAAGGGGCGACTTCTCCGGCAGTGGAGACAGGTCCTCAGGCTTTTTAAGTGGCGAACAGCCGATCGGAGGGCAGAAAGTCCACGTCGGACCGGAAGAGCAGATGGCGTCGCCAAAAAAAGAAAAGAAGAAGAAAAAACAGTGGAGAAGTCAAAGGCGAATAGCGTGGCCGGACACGATCGTTTTATGGTTTATGATACCCTTATGGTTGCTAGGTACAGCTGGGCTTGCATCAGACCAAGTTGGTCTTCATCGCGGGTGTGGCTTATATTGCTTCATTCGTATCATGTTTGGGCAGTGTGCCTTTGTGCACATTCCTATTTGGAGTTGGTGGTTGGTTATCTTGTACAGAAAGGATAGACGGGCATTGTATTTAGACACTGACACAACACAAGATCCGAGGTGCGTGGTTTTCAACTTGCCACCAGTCACGTGTGAGTTGACTTTACGCTTGCTCCTCTACCACTTCATCCCCTTAGTTGCGGGGTCAATTTGATTAAACACGGAGACGTCCTAAATTTCCTGTGCCTGATACGTTACCTCTGTACATATACTCATATCACGAATGACGGCGACGATAACAACGACAATAGTAGTCTCAGAACGGCGACGTTAGTAGAGCGCTGTAAAGGAAAAGTAGTCGTTCTCCAAATACAAATGTAGCTGCCAATATGATAGGTAAGTCTACCCTCGGAATAAGAAAGCCAGTTGAGCGATTACTACATCGTTCCGTAGATGCCATCCAGGACCATTTCAGATATACCCAATGGGCACGATCTGTCCAGATGACATGCATCGCGCAGCCTCAGCAGTCGCAAGTTCTCTTAATCAACAAGATATCGGAGGAAACATGGCTATTGGCATTTTCGTTCAACTACCATGTAGGCATGTTTTGACATGAAACGTAAGACATAGTCCCTCAAGCCGCCTTGCAGTAGTTGGCAGGAAAGCTGCCCTTAATTCCCCCAAGTTCCCCAATCCACCAATCTTGATCGGTCTGCGTCTTCTTGACAATTTTAATCCTATCCCCTTCCCTAAAACTCAAGTCGCCCGGACCACCGGCAAAATCATACTGTGCCACTACGAAATCATCGGGCACCTGAACTCGCTTAGCCGGCGGCGGTGGCGGTGGTTTCTTCTTGCCTGCAGCGATGCTACCATTGCCTGCCGAAATTCCTGACTGGTGACCAAAGTGTTCTGATTTGGAAGTCGTGTATGCCGGTGATACTCGAGAGGCACCTTGAGGGCTTCCAAGTGCTGTGGCCGTTGTGAAGTCAGTTGGCAAGCCGAGCTGAACACGGGATGCACTTGTGCTCCTTGGCTGGGGACTCGGCTGAGGAGGCGGGTCGCGACGGGGCGCAGGCCGCCCAACCGAATTAGATGAAGGAATTCGCACAATTCGAGGTGTGGGGGTGGTGGCCTCGCCGCTCGACGTCATGCCTGATGGGGTCCGCGAGTGAGGACTGCGAGCTGACGATGTTGGGTTGGGTTGACGCCAGGCCCTGCCGTGGGCTATGCAGCTTATGGATTCTACTTCCTTCCTAATGGGCATGAACGCAGAGGACCACGTCGAAACCACCTGCTCCATTGGAGGCGGTGGAGACGGAAAATCGTGGTCCTCGCAGTAATTGTGCAGTACTGTGTAGTACAAGCCAAGAAGCCTGTTTTGTATGCAAACATGGGATGCCAGAAGGTGGGGGATCAATGTGAAAGTGGCTTCGACAATGGGCGGGAGAGCTTCGCGAAGGTGGGTATCTGCGACATTGAACTCCTGCAAGAGTGAATTATTAGCGGTTGTGACATCGCCTGTGCAAGTTTGGTCATGAGGTAGCTCACCTCCGAAGCACAAGACATGTCGAACTCTGCTTTGGACAGCGCTGCATCCTCCTTGGGCGTTCTTCCAGTCTTCTTCTGTAGCTTCTTCACCTTGTCCTCTGCTTTTTCATAATCAAGCCTCTTGTTCTCACGCTTCTTAATGGTCTTCCGGATGGGTTGCAGATAGTCGCGGGCCTCGGTAGCAGGACGGATGACTTGGGCGTCGATGGCTGCGACTTCTTCAATCAACTCGTCTTTGAGATCAGAGTAAGCTTCACGGAGCTTGAAAGTTCGGTCGAGTTGCTGTTGAGGGGTAGCAATGCTAGGTCGGCCATGACCTTCGGTAGCACCGAGAATGGGATCGTACAACCCTTCGTATTCTTTGACGATGGCCCACTGAGTAGTTCCGACAGCCACCCAAGAGTCACGAAGCTGCTTGGTATTTTCGATGATCTGTAGCCCGGTGACAAGACGTTAGTTGACTGGGTGGCCAAAGAGGAGGGCAATGAAGTTTTTGTGAGGCAGTTGGCGTCTGTATGTCAGTGTGACGAATATGAATGAAAAACATGGTGGCAAGAGTACCTTCCCCAGCAGATTGTCTGCGTCTTCGTAGTCATGAAGAATTGCGGCGATTTTGGCGTTGTCACCAGGGCTCTTGTTCATGAGCTTTCCGAATTGTCTATGCATGGACTGCATTTTGCTCGGGGGAGCGAGGAGGACGGGAGCGAGAGGGTAGATGTGATCAGGCGGGGTATTTCACACGTAGGAATGAACATATGAGTTGGTCTGGTGCTTGTCTCTCAAGCCAGCACCACCTGCAGTATGGCAGGAGGAGTAGGAGCAGGAGCAGACAACAACACGGGCGCAGCTGTAGTCGGGGAAGCGCGTGGGTGTCGCGCACAGGCGGTGGTGCGACGGCGGCGGTGTATAAATTGAGGTAGAGGGGTTTGAAGGAGGGGACGTTGAATAATATTTGAGGAGTTTGCCGTGCGATACGATGCCTACCCGGACCTGACAGTGACACTGAGGTGAAGGTGGGCGGGACATGGGGAGAGGACAGGCCACAGGAACAGGGACAGGGGCAGGGACAAGCGGACACCCAGCAGAGCAGCAGCTCGGTTGAGATTGTCTAGAGCGTAATCGCACGGGCACGGCGTGCCTTACGTCCAACAGATGAACATCCGTACTTTGCTAGGTAAGGTATCAGGTATGAAGATGCATCAACCAACAAGACTTGGAGCTGAGGAAGGATGTTTACGCAACCCCCGGCGGTGTGAGCCAGCCTTGGAACCTTGTCAGGCGCGGAAGCCAACCAAAAATAACGTAGCGTCCCAACCCTCTGCCCTGAGGGGGTGCTTAGCAGGCCCTGCCCGGCAGCCGGCACAAGTACAGTCCTGGGCGGTTTGAGGCTTGCCCAGGTGATGGATTTCCACCCTGACAAGACACTTTCATAAAATGAGTCCAGCCACCTCCTTCAAGGGCGCTGCGACCGGAACAAGATGGGACTTTATGTTTGCCGTCAACCAGATTTATGGTCCTGGCGCATCGCAAATCTCAGGGTTCCTCTTCTCCCTTAGAGCTGCATGGAGTAGCGAGCACAGGAAGGCCCTTGCGGGGCGGCCATGTTCGTCTTAAGGTTCCTTAGTGCGCCTAGGTGCCGTGTGTATTACCCTGGCACCTTACAGAGTACATTCAGCCGCAAGGCACACCTAGGTACCTACGGTAAGGTTTACCTACGTTTGGTGGGTAGGCACTCTGGGTCACCTGACCTGGCGTGCCTATCTGCCGTCTCATGTCGCGTCGCGTCCTACCTATGTTTCGTAGGCCCCGTCACTTCTCATCACGGCCCAACACTCAGTATTCGCCGTAAAGACAATCATGTTCCAATCACGGATATGGCGACCAGGATGCCTCTTATCAAACGTCATAGCCAGCCCTCGGGTCTACCGGCCTCTGCTCCGGTCCACGAGTTCATCTGCCTATTCACCCATGATCTGAAGCGCAAGCAAAAGCGTTGGCAAGATGGTCGCCTCAAGTTCCACACCTTTAACAAACGCATCATGGTGTATGATGAGAGGGGCAACTTCATCGGCGACATGCACTGGAACGAGGACTTCGCATTCGGCGAGGGCGAGGAGTTCAACCTGGAACGCGGCGCCGTCATTGTACAGGTCGCTGAATGCATTGGCACCAAAGACCAGGATCTTACCGACCTCCTCGACAAGAGAGCTCGAGACGTGGAGCAGCGTCATTCTCACTTCTCTGCTGCCAGCTCACCCCTCTCTGCTGCTCGTCCTTCGCTGCTTCCCCTACAACAACAACAACAACAACAGCAGCAGCAGCAGCAGCAGCAGCGGCGGCGGCGGCGGCAACAACAACACCAAGCACAGCAACAACCGCATCCCCACTTCAAGCAACGCCACTTGGCCGATGTTTTCAACACCCCGCGTGGACCGCAAGGAAGAGCGGCGATACCTACCACATCTCCCTACGAGGATCGCATAGCGGCCCAGGCTCCAAGCTCCCAGGACGAGGACGCGAGGCCAGCAAAGAGGAGGAAGAGGGACGTGTCGCCTCCGAGCAAGTCTGGCTATGCTCAGAATCTTTTCGGCACCACCTTGACTCTATCATCGTGGTCGGCTAGTGCATCCATCCGCAGCCAGCCACTGATAACACCCATCAACGAAGGAAGTCGTTCTGCTCGCCCCGTCCGAGCAGCAAACATTGCCCATGAACCGTTGCCTGCTGCGGTGGATCTCACGATTGATGCGCATACGCCTTCGAAGACCTCCAGCACCAGGGCATTCCAAAAACATCAGGCTGCTTCTGGTCAGCCCAGCGGAATTCGCAAGACCAAAGCTATCGCAGTCGTGAAACCCTGCGAAGTGTCGCAAGCAGACCCAGTACAGCGGGTTGATCAATTGCCCCGCAGCTCCGACGAGTTTCCCATATCAACAGAGCATCCACGGGAGAAGGGCACCCAATCTCAAAAACCAGATCGTTTCACTATAGACGAGGTTTCTTTCTTAGCGTCGACAATGACAGGCGATATGGCGCCGTCCCTGCGCGAAACCCAGAAGCCCAAGAACAAAAAGGCCCATCACAGCGGCCTCTGCTCTGGCAAGAGCAGCACGGATTCAAAACCATCACAACGATCCACCGAGGATGCAGTCAGAGAAGGCGAGTGGACGAAGTGCGATGTTGTTTCCACAATTGCTATCCAACCTGATACCCCAGACGAGCCCAAAGCAAAGCTACGAATCAAGTCCAGGCAGAAGCGCGGCTTGTTGATGGTATCAAACATGTCAAATAGAGCTACATCAAGAAGCCCCGCCGACTATGACAGAATGTCGGAACTTGATGCGACAACGGACAGAATGACGGTGGCGTGTGAAGATACTTCATTGGTCATTCCCAGAGTCAGTTGCAGTCCTAATATCGAACAAGGTGATGACCTTCCAGTCACTGCAAAAGATCAGACGACACGGCGCAATGATAGAATGTCGATCGACTTAACTAGGAGTGGCGATGGGAATGATGGGCTGCAGCAACGGTGTGAGGGCCAGAATGACAACCAGTGGCTGCAGACATCTCGCGACATGGATACGACGACCTTGCCCGACGCAGGTATGGACTGTCGACACTCTCGGGGGCAAGGGGGCCAGTCTATGCGTGATGCGCATCAGGATACAGAAGCCTGGAGTGTTCATGTTGGGCCTCGACTGGCATCTCTTGGCCGGAGGAGCGTTAAGAGCAAGGAGATAATTGGTTCATTTGACCAAAGACAATCGCTATCGCGTGACCAATCTTCTGAGCCAGAGTTGGGCTTCTTCCAGGAGGTCAACAAACGAAAAAATGAAAGGGCACCCAGATTCTCAAACAACGAAGGAATCAACATCTTACAAAGTGAAGTACCGAAATCAACGAAAGGAGCTCGACTCGTCAACCCGGCTACCAGAGGGCGTAAGGCGGCTACAAAATCTGACGCCGCCGGTGCCGTCCCACAATCTTTCATTTCAGCAAACTCGAGCTTGACACTCCCCAGTGCCACTGCGTCAAAGCCCGACTCGGACAAGGATACCGGTCCCGAAGAGGCGGACACGTCTACCGTACATTTACCAGGATTCTCCAAAGCGAATGGCGGACCGTGGAGCAGAGAGGCATACGATCTGTTGGGGTGTGCAAGGCCTGGCTAAGTGGAAATAGCGCTGAATGCGGACTGATATTCCAACCGAGCCTACACCGCCGACAGCGTACGGTCTTGACGGAAAATTCATGGATAGAATGATATCAACGCAATACAGCCAGCATACGAGTCCAATTCACTGTCAGCGTCTTAATTTGTTTTGACTGCTCTCTCTCCAAGGATTGCAACTTTGCCATGTGCAAGCTAACGAGGCATTGTTACTTTCCCACCTCGCACTCGAAGCGTCGTTTGTCGGCCGTTCTCAGTTGCTCTCGACATCATGGTTCGCAACTTGGGCAGCCATGGTAGGCTTGGGAAGGGGTGGCCGGCTTCAGCCTCTAAGTTCAGTCTTACACTTTGAGCCACCGCTTTCAACAGACCAGAAAGGTGCGAGCCCCCACCCAAGCTACGCTCCATGTTAGGAATCGACAAGTTCACCTGGCAAAGTGGCTATCCTCATGGTGACGTTCCGGTATCACAACCGCAAGGTGAAAACCCCGTTAATTTCAGCCACATCTCTACTTGCTACTTCAGTGCAACATGGCAACTAGGCCCACTGCCTTTCGTTCCAGGGATCGACAGGCGCGGGGCTGCGTCCCTACAGAATCACCACTCGTCTTAGTTAGCAAGATATGCCCTTGGCTATTGGGAGACAGGTCAAGAAGAATCATAGGGATGTCAAGGTAGCTGTGAAAACTGGGACGGAACCTTCCTTGCGATTGAGCAGCTACGATCGCACCATACTACCCGGTATAGAAACCTCGAAGAACTCGGCCCACTGGAGGTACGAAGGCGTGAACGATCAAACGAATGAACACTTGCACTGCGAAATGCCTAGTTCAGCTTCCAAACAGCTACGAAGGCTCAGGAGTTCAGCGAACGCCCTCTTAAAGGTTCTTTCATCCCCAACATGCGAGGGTCCCGACAGAAACAACTTGGTCAGGCGCCTTCTATCCTAACGTAGAAATCGGACAGATGCAGTCTTAGGTTTGGAACTGAACACACCTTTGTCTGTTGAACGTACTACTCTGTCAGGCTTAGTCGATTTCGACACCGTCAACCATCCCTTCGCTACTAGCTCAGCAATGAGGACGATGAGGATAGGCATGGTGACGAGGGTAAGAAGGGCAACATTAACAATGGGACAGTACATTTTGTAGGAATGATAATAGTAATTGAAACCTATAGAGAATATAGTAGTAATGAGGTCAATAGAGAACCTCTATTATGTTCGTGCCCCTTGCAGCCTGCGTATATCTAGACCTTCGGCTGGCGGGTGGGCTCAACGCGCGGCAGAGTCATCTTTCTTAATATTGCCTCGTGAAGTTCACGATTGCGACTGGGAGGGCCAGACCTTCAAATTGCGAATCCTCTTTTCTGGGCAACGAGAGAAGCGCTCGGGAAGAACATAACACTCATCATAGTCATAAAGACCGGTGACGCGGTGGAATAGGCCTGTAATGTGGGAACCAACGACCTAGCTGACATCAGCCTGGGCAGCTCCTGTCTTGTCCCAAAAAGTGCGCGCAGTGCAAAGGAGGACTGTTGATGCCCGCTACACCTAAGCATTTGCTGTATTGCAAGCCGTAGTCTTCCAGTATCCTGCTTTCCTTCGGTCCTTTCCATGATTTGAGCTGGAAACCAGATCGCTGTGAGTCTAGGGCGTGGATTACGAGCAGGGGGTTTGAAAGACGAAAGAACGATAGTGCAGGGTGTGGCATCTTGCTGACATTCAGAAAAGGCATCGAAAGTAGTCAGAACAATGTTCTTGCATAGACGCGGTACGTATCCCAAAAGTCGCCTGTCAGCATTGCAGCATTTTAGCCCGCCCCCGCCTAAAGCTGCATGGCTGGTGCGAACGTCCAGGAGCGGCCGCTATTGGCTTCGAGGCTGACTCACAGTCACGTGATGAGAGCCAATTCGGTCGCCGAAAATCTGATGTCTGGCGCGCTGGAGGTGGGTCTGGGCAACCAATTAGAGAATTTATAATGGATCCTTCGGCCTCAATTTGCGGCTATGATTGGCTGTGCTACGAAACGGCGTCGCGAGGGCGCTAGTCCATTTTCATCTCGCCGACGAGTTCAATCAAAACCACGGACAGGCTGCGCCTTGCCGGGTATACAAGGTACCAGACGATGCTGCTGTGCACATGAGCTGCCTCAACCTGAAATACCTTCCATGACTCCCGCCCGCCCATCCCGCCCAAGCCTTTCCACTTCTTCCTTTTCTCGCTACTCTCTTCGTCGACTTTGATACGCCGAGTGATAGACTCGCTGAAGCTACTCCTAAGTTGGAGACCTTCCCCCTTCCTCAGGCTTACCTCCCTTCCCACTGGAAATTATCAATACCCAATCTCATCCATCTGAGTCAAAAGACGATCCTACAGTAACACGCTCTGAAGCTTCTATCGTCAAAAACGTAAGAGTCTCTTGCCGCATCGAATTTGTTCCAGGTACGCAAGTCTTTCCGGTCATGTCTGCCTGGCCCGAACCCCCCCACACACCGGCCGGCGGATACCCCCCTACCTAGGTAGTGCCAAGCCATTGCACGCGGGGAACTGGGATGGTTTGAATTAGATGCCCGGCAGGGACGGGCTGCAAGAACCATACCGTAGAGGCTTACAATCTCTCAGACGAATCGATTCAGCCAGCTCTGCAATAAAGAATCGACCTCTATCTCAAGGACTTGATTGTCCATCACAATATCGTCCACGTTTCGCCGCTTCCTGTCCGTAGCTTCCGCCGTCAATCAAATGGCGGCCATGTCTCGCAACAACTCCGTCGGCGCTCTCCAGGGCTTCTCAATCTGCCAACCGTTCCTTGGCGCCTCCCTGCAGTTCTACCCTGCTTTGGGTACCCAGCAACTTGACGACCTCATCAATGCCTATTTTCCTGGACCCGCCTCCATCAAAGAGAAGAGGGCCACCGTTTCGATGGACTTCTTTGAGTACTCCCAACTTACAGGAGAAACCTTTAAATATTATCCCGTTGTGACACAGGCAGCGTCTGCCGGGTCTAGCCCCGTGCAGGATTCCGGCTACGACTCCAACTTCGTTTCACCTGTCATTTCGGACTGGAGCTGGTCCCATTCGACGCCAAGCACTGTGTCCGTGTCAACTCCTACTTCGGTAGCCCAGGAGACGAAGCCCACAAAGATCACAAAGAAGAGTGCTTCTGCTGCCGCCAAGTCACAAGCCAGCGACTTCTCTCATCTCCCAGGAATGAAGATCATGACCAAGGATGGCCGCGATGTCACCAATTCTGCTTCTCGCGGCTGCAAGACGAAGGAGCAACGGGATCACGCACACCTCATGCGCATCATCAAGGCCTGTGATGCTTGCAAGAAGAAGAAGGTCCGGTGCGACCCAAGCCACAAGAAGCGTACCGCAGCTGCGCAGGCGCAACCCGCCACCCCAGCTCGGCTAGCGAAGAAAGCCAGAACCTCGACTGCACCAGGTACTAGTACTGTCAAAGACCGACAATCGCAGCATAACATATCTCCGTCCTTGTTTACTGAGCCGATCTTACCTGCTCTTGAGGTTGCCGACACATCTTTCGACTTTTCCGAATCCTGGGAGTCCTTCGTGCGGTACGACGACGAGGCCGTCAATGTCACCCCCTTCGACTACGACTTCTTCTTCGACCCCGCGGGCCATCTCTCTCCACAGTCAAGCCGTTCGCCCGCGACGCCCTCGGCCATTTTCAATCAACTACAAGCCAACCGCGACATCCTCCAAACTGTCTCTGTCGCCGATTCGTTCGAGAATGCCGCACTACGTCCACCGACGCTACCGTACCTGGATGCTTCAGGACCGGCCAACAACTACGTCGATTTCAGCTTGTACTCCCCTGAGCCGAGCTTCTTGGACGACGACTCTGCTTTGGTCAACGAAATTGGTGCCTCCAACTTTGGTCAGGCTTCGTCTTTGCGCCCAAGCTTGACCCAAGATCGCCGGCCTGTAAGCCTACACGATGCCGAGACAGGCAACCTGGCCCAAAGAGCTGCGGTCAGCACAGCTGATTCCGGCGCCTTGACATCACCGCAACTCCTCGAAACTGCATATGTGGATCATGGGCATATCTTACCATCAGGTGGAAGAGCACTCCCCTCATTTTCAGAGATTGAAAATGTCTCACTGGTGCGCACTTCTGACTGCCTAACTTCAATGTTCACGCTGACAGTGGAACAGAACCTTGGCGCCTCCTCCACCATCCATCCAGATGCCTGCCGAAGCCGGTCAGCACAATCACCGCTGGTGACATATGGCAGTCATGATGGAGCCCTATCGCACCAGTCCGCCAGCGACGTTACTACGAGACTGACTTCCTCTGCCCGCGCTGCGCTGGCCAATAGTTCCAACACGTCACTAGCAATCGCACAAGGCGGAAGCTTCAACGCGTCTCCGGTTCGAGCAGTGCCCAGCCAAGTACCGCTACCCACCATTGCTTCTTCAGATCGCTTCTCGACACTGTTCGAGGAGCAGTCTTATTACGCGACTACCACGGCGACAATTTCTGGTGAGAGCGTTGGCGAGACCACGGCCACGCCAGCACGTGGCGCGCGGGTTGCCAGCACATCGTCGGCGATTAGTCGTGGCACGTCTGCGCCGCTCAGCTCCCGGTCTTCGCTCACGAAGGTGACTGGAGTGCAGAGCGCGATTGAGGCCATGGTCGGCGATCATGTAGTAATCGCATGCCGCGCTCTTGTCGATCAGCTGTCCATGACACAGGCACTATTGTCTGCAGTACTGATTGTGGCAGTTTTTGGCAAGATTGGCACTTCACTGGAAGCCCGAGCACTTGCTGGTGGCCTTGTCCAGATCCTCTTTGGCCTCGTTATGTATAAGGCCTACTACCCTTACTCAAGTCTCCATGGCTTGAGACCGCAACAGAGCCGTCTCAGTACCACGCCAAAGCCGCAAGGCTTCAGCGACAGCGCGAGGCTACTCTCCTGCGTCAGCACGAGACTACGACACACCCGTCGCCAGATTGCCGCGGCAAACCCCCGGGCGAGCCCGGCAGTTGGGCCCAGGCTTCTGCGCTTCGCGCAAGTGCTCTAATAGGCACTTCGTTGACCAGTGGCTTGGATGGATGTTCCTGGCTTCTATGGACAAGGAATGAGTTGTAGCGTTTGCTGATGTTTATGGGAGCGTTGGTTTCTGAGATACCCCTCTGTTTTGATGAGATATGGTTGCCCAGCGAGGGCTGCCATGTCAGCTTAATCATCGGGCAAGACAGTCTTGCTGATTGCGCAGGTTGGAAAGGGAACGTGTATATCCTGCTAGTTTGTGTGATTAACAATATACTGTCTTGCTCACATTTCTATCTATGATAACAAGAGATGACGTGACATGATGGGTGTAACCAGCAGTCGCTTGTTGCACTTACTCACTTCTTGCAAGCCTCCTTTGTCGACTCCTGTGTGGCATATATGTATTTACTGCAAGATCGGTAAGCCGAGTTGAACTGTTGGCAGTATAATTTGGCATTTTCAGATGGTCAGTGCACTGCTTAACAGCTCGTATCACGTGATCGAACACGTTCCCACTTCATTCCTGCAAAGTTCATCTCACGATGTGACTGATGGGTTGTTTGTGCATTCTGAACTTGGTTTCTCGGTATCGACCACGACGAACAGACTTCACCATAGGTAGGCTTGGGCAGAAGACTTTCCGGTTGAGGCCTGTTTCTCGCCATAGGGGGAAGTCATTGCAACTGAAAACTGAACTCCTGGGCTTACCCGCTTCCCACCTGTTTCAGTCCCCTTCTTTTCTACCTTTTTTTTTTCTGCCGGCAGGTTTGAGTCGCCATCGGTTTTCAAGTCTGTCGCCTTAGACACTACCCTTTATCTTGTACTTGTCTAGAGACTTTTATCTAAAGACCAACAAAGACCTTTTGACTGGGAAGCTTAGGGACTAGGTATTTGGTGCTGTATTCTCGTGCCCGATCTCTGCCTTGAAAGGTCGGTGCTGACCTCTCCTAACCTTAAGGCTTTGATGAGGAGGAACGCTGAATCAGATGACCTAGACAAGCTGCGGACTTGAGAGCAGTCAAAAGAAGATTGTGTCAGGTAGTGTTGATTTCATCAGCAGACCACTTGTTTGCACAAAAGAGGTGCCTGAAACCTGGAGCCTGCCTGCTCTTCTGCTCTACAAAGAGGGAGATAACCCAGACCTTCAGGCCTAGGCCCAGGCCCACGGAGGCTGCTCCTGCACCTGCAAGTGCGCATCTAGGTATTGTTGTTGCTGTCTGGGATCTTTGCGGTACCTGCCCAGCCTGTCCAGAAGAAGTCTTGGTTACTGGCAGGCATCGACGAGCCTGCCAAGATGGGCAATATGACGAAGGCGCCTTCCACAATGGGATCGACCCCAGATGACTCCGAGTCACAGGAAAGAAGGATGCAGCGGTTTTCAACGACTGGGAAATTCCTACAGACAGTCTTCGCCCGTCTCAAATCCCCCTTCTCTCCCAACACCAAATCTGCTCCACCCTTGACCTCACCATCACATTCACCTTCACCTCCATCCGCCTCAGCAGCGTCTTCCCAGTCACAATCATCTCCCCCAAGAGAACAAAACTTGCCACCATCATTGGAACAATCGAAAATGGCCGATGTCGCACCTCGAACCATCGTGTCCCATACTCGAGACTCAGCCGGAAACCCAGATTCTCCGAAGACCATGGCCGCTCCTGCTTTGACCAGCGACAAGGAGAATCAAGTTCCCCCAACTGCAGTTGTCGCTCCCACTGCCGTCTTGACCCGCCTCTCCGTCGATGACGCAGCCTCTCGACCTCGGTCGTCCGGCTCCATCAACCGTGACCCCTACACTCCTACCGGGGAAAAGCGCATCCATCAGGTCTTCATGGACCAGGCTCTGGATATGGTAGGTTGTGGTTATTCTTGAATGCCACGTGATGATGAGGTTGTTCAACGCAATGGCTGACTTTTCCTGCAGGCCCGTCTGGCTTTGAGGACGAACGAGACACCCGTTGGCTGTGTTCTCGTCCACAAGGAAGCCGTCGTGGCCAGAGGCATGAATGCAACAAATGTTACTCGGAACGGTACCCGGCATGCTGAGTTCATGGCACTGTCTGCCCTTCTCTCCTACGGAGCGGGCAAGTCTGAGAAGCCGGCCGATAAACAATTCGACTCGTCGGCCGACCAGCGTTCTAAGTCTGACACTCAAGATAACGACGACTCGGACTTGTTCCCTATGGACGATGACTACATCAGAAACGGTCACCTGTACCCCTACGGTCAGAAGCTGCACCGAGATACTCAAGTCGCCCGCTCCATTGTCCGGGAGTGTGTTCTGTACGTTACAGTCGAACCCTGCGTCATGTGTGCTGGCCTTCTGCGACAGCTTGGCATCAACAAGGTCTATTTCGGCGCTGTCAACGACAAGTTTGGCGGCACCGGTGGCGTGTTCAGCATTCACAAGAACTCAACCAGCTCGTCCAATCCTACCCCTGCAACAAAGCCTCTCCAGGTCTCCACTAACGCTAGCAACATCTCCCGACCATCTAGCTCTTCGTCGAACAAGAGCATGCTGATGGGCAACCGCCAAGCAACAGACCAACCCGGCGATGGTGGCAACGTTGAGCGTGGATTCGAAGCAGAGGGCGGATGGGGCCGTGACGAAGCTGTCAGTCTTCTCCGGCGTTTCTACGTCCAGGAAAATGGCCGCGGTAAGTTCTCGTTGCCATTGAAAATCTGTGGCAATGATTCGTCTACTAATACATCCCACAGCACCGGTACCGCGAAAGAAGGAAGGCAGGGCTGCGCGACTTGCTGCCATGGAACAAGCTGGAAGCGAAGCCGTCACAACGGCACCAGCCGTATCCACCGACGCTGAAGCTGCAAGCCCCCACGATACTCAGGACGGCATTGTTGAGTCTGCAATTGGCACGATTGCTACTCTCGGCAATGGCGAGGATGTCAGGGCCTGAACCAGTTCGTACGTCATGAGAGCCACTCGCAGTATGTCCGGCAAAAACACCCTACCAAGCCAGTAGCAAGCACCACGGGTGGGAATATTCACCTTTCTCATTACTGCTGCTGTTGTAAATTTAAAGCAAATAATGCTGGACACATAGTCCATGGTCGGGTATCCTGTCCAAGTAACAAGCAAGACATTCGTACTTTATGTTTATAATTTCCAAGATCCTCCCTTACTGATACCACTCAAGATGACCTGTCACCCCGCGGTGAGATGGTCTCGCCAACGTCCTTGTCTTTCCCGTTCACCGAGCCACCCTGGTCAGAACTGGCCGTCTTCTCCAGAGGCTGAGGCTCCTCGGCGACGTTGCCACCATCTTGGTGGTCTGCACGCCAGAAGTCCTTCTTGCCCTTGATGAGACGTCTAACCCACGGCGGAAGGATGCCACCAGGAATGCGCCACGTCCAAGGATCCTTCTCGTCCTTATTAGGGGGAACTATGCGGCCAAAAGAGGCCTTCTCGATCACCCAGACTAGGGTGTTGATCAAGATGTAGCTGCAGACACCACCAATGAGGCCATCGGCGATGGAATATGTGAAGGGCATAAGAGCCATAGTAATGAACGCAGGGACAGCATCGCCCATGTATCTCCAATTGATCTCGGTCACGGCCCGGACCATCATGGATCCAACAAGAACCAAGACGCAGCCGGTAGCCCAGGATGGAATAGAAGCGAAGATAGGAGCAAAGAAGACTGATATAAAGAAGCAAAGTCCAGTCATCATTGCAGTGATGCCAGTCTTTCCGCCCTCAGAGATGCCGGCGCCTGACTCGACAAAAGCAGTGACTGGGGGAGTGCCGAAGAGGGCGCCAATCGAAATGCTAAGGGCGTCAACCATGTAAGCGACAGAAGAGCCCTCGAAATCCTGCGTCTCCTCGTCGATGAGGTTTGCGAATCGAGCCATTGAGTACAGCGTGCCGGTACAGTCAAGAATATCGACATATAAAAAGGTGATGAGGGCAAGGCCGAAGGCGCCACTGTAACCGGCAACATTCCATTCCTGGACATTGAGGGTATGCTGAATGGGGTGAAAATCGACAACCTTTTTGAAGAAGTCGAAGTTCGAGTCCCCGACAGCAGTGTAGGGAAAGTAGGTAACGTCGGTCCCGCGGGGCCAGGAGATGATGCTGACAAGGATGATGCCAGCGAGGATGGCGCCCTTGAAGCGGTACATCATGAGCATGACGGTCAGTATGCCACCGCAGAAGATGCCAATCCACATGGTTGGGCTGCGCATCTTGGTTGAAGAGGGGCAAAGGCCGTCCACCATGAGGCCTTGCTCACATCCAGCCAACTCTAAGGGGGTGGAGGTGGCACCGACGATCAGGCCGATACCTTCGCTGTAAGTAAGACCGATCAGGGTGAGGAAGAAGCCGATGCCGACACCGGTGGCGAGCTTGATAGAGCGGGGAATGGCACGGGCAAGCCACTGGCGCATCCCAAGCAGAGCGAGGCCGAAGAATATGAAGCCCTCAATGAAGATGGCAGTGAGGGCGACCTGGTAGGGAACGGCGCCGGTCCCGTGGTAGCCGACGACAGAGTAAGCGAAGTAGGCGTTCAGACCCATACCTGGGGCGCAGCCAACGGGCATGTTGGCAAGCAGACCCATGAAAAAGGTGGCCAGAGCAGAGATGGCGGCGGTAGCAGTGACGATGTCGCGCTTCACCTCAGCCACACACAGCAGATAATCTTCGTCCTTGTCGCAAGTAAAGTCATCGGCTGTACGAGGGCAAACACAGGTGCCGCCGGTATCAGACACGATGGACGAGTTGACGGCAATGATGTAAGCCATGGCGAAAAAGGCGACAAGACCGGCACGGATCTCGGTGAAGAAGTACGAGCCCTTACGCTCTCGGGGCTGCAGTTGTTTCGGTTAGTAACCGCAGTCAGATATTGGGCAAGAAAACCATCCAGTCCTGCCATCCTCGCGTCTGACGGCGACCTGCGACCATGAGAAGCAGGCGAGCCGAGCTCAACGCCAATTGGGATAGTCAAGGAATGATCTAGGGGCACTGCGACTTACATGACCGGAGCCTTCAAGTTGGAACCACCGACCGACCGGGCTAGCGGCGATCTTGGCATTGGCGTTATGAATCCACCCCATCTTGCACAAAATTTTCCCCCCTCCCTCTTCAGCGTTGGTGTCCGAGGAGAGATCAGACGGCCCAGTCTACAGGCCAGGGGAAAGAAAGAAAGAAAATGGAAGCGAAGAAGAAAATATGACCAGGTGTGGCGATCAAAAGCCGATAGAGTCTGATCAAAGTGAGAAAGGTGGCAGCGTAGATTTTGGTCGCCGGAAAAGCAAGCGTGAAAAGCAAGACCGGGAAAGCTTCAGTCAACTTGACACCAGCGATAGGTAGTTTGCGAGGACGGCAGGAGGTTCCAGTGCAGCAGATCTCGTTCGAGATCGCACTGCCGACGAAGACCGGACAAGGACAACGGTGATAAGTGGGTAGGAGGAGGACAAGCCTAGAGAAGCAGCAAGCTGTCCGAGAGAGCGGCAAGACGTCAGGTTTTTATCAACCTGCCGCGTAGAATGCGCGGCAGCAAATTCGGAGGAGGCAAGGCCGATGGACAACATCCAGCCAGTCAGTCCCGTTATCAAAGAAAACTCGAGCCATTATTTAATAGCGCGAAAATGATTATCATTTGCTGGATCGCCGGGGCGGGGGGGTCCAGCCTGTGATGGGGCATGGCGTGGATCACTGGCGCAGGCCGTAGGCGGGCAGGTGGGCAAGGATACGGATGCTGGAACGATGGAATTTGATGCGATGGAGGTGGATGGCATGGCACCCACGTTCTAACTTTGGCTTCCATAGTTCTATGTCAAGAGAATGGTGTGGCATCCGTACATGTATCGCAAAGACTAGTAAGGTATGTGAGGCAAGGCGGACAAGCCCTTTAGCGCGGGAAGGTACTTGCATCCGGCCCGGATACATAGCCATGGCATCGCACCGCATGCATGGCAGCGTCCTGGGCGCTATACGTCGACGTCGCCGTGGTAAGGTATCCAAGTGAAGGCTGGACCGGACCACCTCCTACCAAGGCAGAGGGCGTCGCTGCGCTTTTGTGCGACGCGGTCGCGTCAACGGGCTAGAAGTCAAGCTGAACTCAATTCACTCATGGACGGGAGTGAAAAAGTATTGATGGATTCTACGGGGAGGGGAAGGGGCGACGAGGGGGGAGGGGAGAAGAAACAAAGGAAGCGTCCCGACCGCTGTCTTTTTTCTTTCGCGGCTACCGATTAAGGTATGGCTAAGCCGATATCTAAGGCAGGTCATCAGAGATAGGACCCATGATTAGTATGGCCGTTTACTCACTTGGCCACACGAATGGATACCCTCCCGTCCTCACCACATGGTATGGAGGCGCCACCGCCAGCAGCTAGGTCTCCATTCGGTGTGGCTTCGTTCGGGAATGGAACTCCCTCACTTTTATCGTCCAATTTCAGGTGCCATGTCACGTCAGAAACCTGCCGTATCGAGCGCCACACGGCGCCATTCAAATGCAGAACAGCATAGTTGCTGGGAGGAAGGAGAGAGGCCCGTGAGTATGTGTGCTCAAGCGGGAAAAGGTAATGGTCAGGGTCAGGACGAGAGCATCGTTGCCGCAAATGGCGGGTTGCAGAAGTCGAGAAGTAGAATTGGATGTTACGGAAATTTGAACTAGCGACCCACAAAAGAGGCGGAAAGGTTTTCGGGTTTGGAAAACAGCGTCCAGTCGCACAAAAGTGCGGCCTACCCGACCTTACCTTACCTTAGGTACCTCGCCTTGCCTGGCGTTAGGGCAGGGGCATGAAGTGCAGGTAAAAAGTCCCCATTGAAGTCGAGGAGCTCTCTGTTTGACTGCACGGTTCGGACCCATCTTGAGCTAAGGTGGTTTAAGGTACGGGAAATGCACACTAAGGCAAGGAACCTTGGGTCGGTGAGCACTTGGTCTTGATTAAGGGTTCTCCGACGTTGAATCATGCTGTGCCCCGGCTGATGGTGGTATCGCGCCGACTGCCTCTGTCACTGCTACCGCAGCCAGGCAAAGATGGCAGGAAGCCTAGAACGGAGGGGACTTGTTGCACGCATGATAGTCACTTTCATTGTTCTGGCATCTATGCCTCCCTCTTCCCTCCCGCCCTGGTTTTCGGGATGAAGTCTCCTTCGGGGACTGACTTAGCACACTCAGGTACATTGGGCTTTGGACGCTCAGCAATAAACCAACCATTGCCATCGGTGCCGTGCCGGAACCTCCGTGGGATGAGATGTACGCATACTGTGTTCGATTGTACGAGGCGGAGCCTCGCGGCCGATGACCGGCAGCACAGTACATTGCAGCCCGCCTGGTGCCTCCACATGGGGGCAGCTGTCTCGGCCGGGGTAGCTATCTCTACTTGCCGCAGCCGCCCATTGACCGCGGGATTAACACCCCATTTCTCAGCTTCGAAGAGGGGCGATTGCCACGCTTGATTGGGCTCACAGGCCCGGTGCTATGCTGTTCTTGGACGAGGCCCGCCGTGGCCGGGCGGGGCCGTAGTGAGAGAGCCCAAAAGACGTCCGGTACCATAACAGGCAATGAGGTAAGGTATAGGTAGCTGAGGACAGCCTCGCGTGTGGACTTCAACGCCGTCCGTTGCTTTCTTTTTCCAGCTTGACACCGCAGCAGTGCGTCTTGACAGCGCCATCAGACCGCCGGATACCGGACAGCGCCACCTCGTGGAACTCTTCAGATGGCGCGGTATGGTGCGCTGGCGACGGGAGGGCGACATGTCCTAATCAGTCTTCATGTCGTTCGTTCTTGGCATCAGCATCGTCAGCTCCTCCGCAGTAGGTAGCTAGCACATACATAGTAGTTGTCGCCCTGGTATTGGTAATACAAGCTCATCTGGTAAACCAGCCATGCGAGACACAAGTCGGCGAAGGCCACGTCCCGGTTGTCGCCAAGCCGGCCATGTCCACCAT